AGAGAAGTAGGTGTGTGTTTGTGTGCTACAGGGGCTGGGGGTGGAGGTTTCACTGTGTACTGCTTGCAGATAGAATTACTATCCTATATTTCAAGTTTGCTTATTTCCCTTGTGTCTCTGGTGGATGTCTGTGGGGGATAAAACAAACACTGCCTTTGGATTTGATTTGTGCTGTGAATTTGCTTCTAATTGGCACCACCCACACCAAAGTTTAAAGTCAATATTTTCAGTTTTCCAAACCAGGCGGATAAAACCAGGCTACTACAGTGAGATTTTAAACAGCTGACAAAACATCATTGGTCTGGTCAGTGGTAAAAGCTCCTGCAGGGACAAGTTAGGCACTGGAGATCCCAGGGCTCTGCTTGCAAGCTGCTCCTTTGACTCTCCCTTCTCACAGCCTCTGAAGGATGTGGCCTCAGGCTAGTGGCCATGCAATATTTCCATTGAACAGCTCACAGGGTCAGCAAGGCTGTCCTCCTGTGCTGAGGAGCCCTGCCAGGGTAGCTGGAGAGGAGGAACATGGGTGTATATCACTGTTACCCTGGCCCCTAGCTGGTGGGGTTTAGTCCTGACTTCAGCATTATTTAAAATAGCTTTAGGATTGTTTGGTGCTAGAGTCAGGACATTCTCCTTCTGTGCCTTTCTCTTGTCCACTACTTATTTAAGAGACTTAGCTTCAAGAGAGAAAATGAATTGACCTGAGTGGTTTTAGTAGGAACGCTGTGGAGCTGCTTCTAAGTGGCATTTTTGTGTGCAAGCATGTAGATAGAATGTTCTAAATTGGTTTTATGAGTTCTGAGGTAGGTGTGTGCAGGCAAAGATATGCCAGAGGTTCATGCACAGTGGTTTTTGTTGGTCTTTTTTTTTTTTAGGCTCATGCCTATATTTCTGCAGTGCTTTAGAAATACATTCTAGTTGTTGTTTAATTGCTATGGGTAGCAGAATCAAACCAAAAATTTAAATGCAGTAGCCCCCCAGATAATCTGGTAAACCTATTCCTAAACTCTCTGCCAGATGAAGCCAGAAGCCAGGCACACAAATTATTGTCAGTGTTCTTCCAAATGAGTAAATTAGATCAAGTTCTTAAATCCTTCCTTGGACAGCTCAATAACAAGGCACTGGAAAAACAGCTCCACACTCCTGCCTGGCCCTTAGAACATGAAATCTAACAGGGAGATGTTAACAGCGTGGTTAGATCAAGCACAATACCAGGTGTAAGGGCTGCACAGCTGCTGAGAAAGGTGAGGCCAAGGGCCACATGAACACACAGATTCAGATCTCCCTCCCCAGCAAGACAAATGGCACAGTCTCCAAAAATGGCACACTGAGGTAAGTGTTACCTTGGCAATCTGCTTTGTTTTAGATTTCATGACCTGTGGTTCTGAACCCCACATACTTTGGGCTCTGGAGTTGTGTGTCTGTCTGTGGGAAAGGAATAACCCCGGTTCCGCCAAGCATTCCAAAAGTGTGGGATAAAAAAGTGACATGTGAGGGGCTGCTGACAAGCATCTGGGCTGACAGAGGTGACCCTCTGCTGCTGACTTAGCAGCTGACATTCTGCAGGCTGCAAGGAGATGACCAATTCACCGGGGAAGGAGGAGTTCAAAACGTCACCAGAGATGAAAAGGAACTTGAGAAACGCCTTAAGGCCCCAGCTGAGATCTTCTGAAATCCCTCTGTGCCAGGATGTCTGCAAAATGCACAGTGCAAGAGAGCCTCACACAGGGATGGCATGTGGAATGGGAAGGGAAAAGCAGGAAAACCAGCAGCTCCCCAACACCCCACAGGAAATCAATGTCATAAGCAGAAACTGAATGCTAAGTCTTAGTCCCTGACAGGTGGTTTGTTACCTATTTTGTCATGACCAGCACAGGCTGATGCTTGTTTCCAGATATTGATTAGAAGGGTGAAAAAAATCCTTTACAGGTGTAATTTTTTTTTCTGAAAATATCAGCAGTTGTATTAACCAGACATGATGGCCAGTCTGTGTGATTTGGGGGCAGGCATTCTCTGCCTCCTTGAAAAAGTGCATTTCAGAAGGGATGGCTTAACCAAGTGCTTGCCTGTCTCCAAAACAGCTCATGTGAGCTGAGTGCCAAGGGAGGAGAGGAGGCAGAGCCACACTTTGAGAAGAGTGATTCCCATTCTTGTGGCCCCTCAAAAATATCAGCCCTTTATATGGCCTGAACTTCAGCGTGAGTTGAAGCTGTCAGAGATGATTTAATTCTTGCTGAGTGCTCTTTGACTCCTCTCAGAGTCCCAGAATGAAGCTGAGGTCAGGGGCTGGGTGGCTGCTGGCAGCTAGCCCTGCCACAGCTCTGGGGACAGCACCTTATGGCCGTGTAATGAGGATCAATAAGTCTCACCATAGGGCTGATCACTTGTCCCCATGTGCTGGGACTGCCCATCTCCAGTGCTGAGGACTGAGATGAGGCACAGTAATGACATTGAAAGGAAAGATGTGCCTTTTGTCCAGTAATTTATATTTCCCTTCTGTGTGCACTTCCACACAGAATGGGCTGGATGGCTTCCCATTGAGCTGGAACATCCAAACCCATTGATGCCATTTCAAGAAAGTGCAGCACTTGTTACAATAATGGCAAAACCATCACAGCTTTTATTCATCTCCCTTTTTGAGCTTGGGTTATCAGTGGTAACTCTATCCCTGATTATTTTTGGCAGAGTAGCTCTCATCCACCTTACATGCAAGCATTACGTTGCTGCAGTCTGATCCTAAATCCATAATACAATAGAGGGAGGAAAAGGGCCAGCCACCTTTAGGGAAGCTCTCCTAATTAATGTCACCAAAGTGTTTGGGTCTGCTAAGATGGTTGTTCATCAAAATATTAAAATTGCAAATGATTAGCTTGGATTGCAAAAAATGGGAGTATATTTTTGTAAGCATTTTCCTGGAACTGGTTCAGATATTCAAGCATTCATTGGTCAGTAATAAAATTCTGATCATTTAAATGTCTGCAGTAAATCAAAAGCTTTTTTTCTCAGCAGCAGCAGCAGCTCAGATGTTATCATTTTAAGTGTTATAAATATACTTGCAGTAATGACTGTAACACCAGTTCCTTTATATACACAGAAATTAGCCTTGATGATCAATATTATTCTTTATGGGTTTTGAATTGAAATAAATTTAGAAATTTATTAATATATGCTATTACAGCTCCCTTATTCATATAAATCTTACAGCAAAAAGGGGATATTATATCAGTTTGTCTCATCCCTTGTACAGCAGTTTGTACAGTTTCTTTAGAGTAGCCTGTTCAAATAAGTGTATCTCACACTTGGATTTTAGGACCTGTGTGTTCTGTGGTCTTTAGGTGGCTGTTTTTAGCAAGCCCCTTACAGTAAGACAATAATTTGCCATTCTCCCTGTTGTGACTAGCTTATACCAAAATTTCTCCTTGCTCTATTGACTCCACCAAGGTGATGGTTCCTTGAACCCCTTTCCTTTAACCTCAGAGACAGGTGAACTTCTTTCATATGACATAATCAAGTCCAACTGCTTTTTTCCTGTAGATGCTGACTAGTTCTGCACCAATGGCAAGACACTAACTGATTCCAGTTTAGTCAAAATTTAATCCTGTTTTTTTTTTTTTTGTAGTAGGGGATTGATATTGTTGTACACCTGCATTCCCCCAGTCAGGGTTTTCCATTAACAAATCCAGTGAATACATTCCAAGACTGCATCACCAAGCAGTGGGGGCTTTTATCTCAGTCCAGGCTACTTCAAAATTTGTTATGTCATGTGGGCATAAAGCATCTTAGCTATGAGTTGGGGTTAGCTCCTTTAGTCAGAACTATGGCTGAAGAACCACGACATTTTCTCTAAATTGGAGCAGAATTAGAGAAAAGAGACCTGTTCTGTTTCCACCCTGCATCCCCAGAGTGGGGATTAATTGTGTGGTGACTTTTACTTTGTGGAAGCTTTTTCCCACTTAATTAATTTCCACAATGTAACAAACCCATATGATTTTTGTAATAGTGATTGTAGTTTTCCCTGGATTTTATCGTGAAGAAATGTATTCAGAATTTACTCTTTGGATAGAGCTGTCTGCAGAAACTCATGGTGCCCTTCTAACACTATAATCCTAGGCAGCCCAGGGAAATTTAGGGAGAATTTCAGGATGGAAAAGTGCTGCTAGTTCTGTTAAATCCTATTAAAAAGCCATACATGGAGAAATGAAGTTTAAACAAGGCTTGGGGAAGCTGCTTCAGAGAAAAATTGTTGTTTTATGCAGTCTTTATTCTTACCATTAAAGCTGCTTTTGTTTTGTTGCAGACTTGTATTGTAAAAATTGTCAGGAAAGAATAAGAAAGAAGTGAAATGATCCAAGCCCTGAATGAATGCCTTTAAGGTTGTAATTTCCATTCCTTCAGTTGATTTTCCCTGGCAGAACTGTAAGGAAAGCTCCACCCTATTAAATACCAGAAAATCCGTAGTGCTAAAGCCAAGCAGATATTTGCAAGTATTCCCTAAATTTTGCTGATGAACTTAGGCTATTTAGTTAGTAGATATTTCTAGAATAGATGGCATCTGATGATGATTATTCTAGAACAGGTGACATTTATACCTATACATGTGTGTGCACATGGACATTTTAAACATCTGTCTCAGTGGGATTTACAACATTCATTTGTGGTTGCTCCTCTGGGGCTCTGGATCTGATATCTGCTAATAGGGAATTTCAGGATGTCTTGTTTCAAACGCTGGTTTAAATAAAATGAAAAAAAAAAAAAAAAGAAAATAAGAAAGCAGCAGCAGCAGCATCAACACAGGACATCACGCCAGCAGATTAAATATAGACATGGATTACAGAGCCATTGTTTTCACTCCTGCTAAATAAGCCAGCACACTTCAGATGGAATGCCACTTGACCTTTTGTGTCTGGTCGCTCTGTGGCTGTATTTAACTGCAGCAGGGAGGAAACATTTTCCCCTGGAACTGTCCCCTGCTGATATGAGGATCGCTGCTGCTGGGGCACAGCATGCTCAGGAGGCAGAGCCCCGGTGCTCCCAAGCACAGCCGGGACCCCGCAGCCCATGGAGCAGCTCTGCCCATGTCTCACAATGACTCACGCTCCTTTTTCAACCTGTCCCAGCTGGTGCTCTCTGCTGGCCAAATCAAACCATCACCGGCGCTCAAACATTCAAAAATCAACTACTTTGAAGTAGAGATTGTTGACGTGCAAAGCAAGAAGCAGATCTGCATTGTGGACAAGGTGAGTGTGCTATCCCAGCACGCTGGGGCTGTGCCTGGCTCACATGGTGCCGCTCTGTTTTTCAGTGTGCTGTGGTCTTATTCTGTAGTGAGAGTACTTTCATTCCTTTCTCTGGGAGTCACGAAGAATTCCTTGTGAGTCAGAACCCCGGGCTGTTCTTCTCCAGGATTTTTACAAATAATCCTGCACTAGTTTGTTTTAGACCTCTTGGCAGCTCTGTGGGCTCAAAGTTCCGTCCTTAGGCTGACTCTTGACACTTACAGTGTCTATTTCAGAGCACGATACTTAAACATTTGTTTCAGAATGGATACTCATTTTTAATGCATTTGTAAAGCCTACCATCTCTGCAATGCTGTGAGTACTTGCTGGTACCTAAATGTACTCAGCTGTGCCCTGCTTATTAGACTGGACCTGGCAATTAAAAAAAAAAATCATCTTAAACAAAGAGTCTTAGTTAAAATAAGTGTTTTGAATTTTTGTTTAGTTTGGTTTGTTTTAATAATGTGAGTAAAAAACCATAAACTACAGCCAAATTGCATAAGTAGGATGAGAGGACTGGGTAGGATGGAAGTTCATGCACTCATAAATAACAGCTAAAATGCTTCATAAATATTTTCATCACAGTTTTCATGATTCATTGTCCCTCAGTGAAAGACTTGGTCTCTTTCATGCCATGAAAATGGAAATCCTAATCTATTTAGCCTATGGAATTTTCAGTAAATTAGTGGAGTTTTAGGACTTACTGTTTTTCTAGAAAAAAATTCCCTTATCCTCATTGGCAACAGCTGGAACAGGTAGATAAGTTTGCTTCAGATGTTTAATTTCATGCCTTTGAAATATGCAGGGTGGAATACTACCAGATTTCCAGTGTTCTTGGTAATTTAAAGGTTGTTTTTCCAATTTTTGTCCCTAGTTATAGGTAAATGTCTTATTTGTTAATTCTCAATGGGGCAAAATATTTTCTGCTATTTTTTGTTAACCTAGCCAAAGAGGAAACATGCACAAAATGGTCAAACAAATAGGATGACTATTAATAACAATTTTGATGGTAGTGTTCACACTACTTTATTGAGTGATATTTACACAGTTGTTAGCTTATCTACATACATTTAGAATTAGGTTTTGATCAAAAGAAAGACAAATCTGTTTCTTATCTTGGGCTTTCCTATAATGTCATTAAAATATGTGTAGTAGTATAGTACAGCAGTAGTATGGTACAGAAACAGCATTAGGCAAAGAGCCATGCATGTTTCAGGAATCCTTCCATGCTGCTGGGATGATACCAGACCTGTGTTTTAATCTTTATTCTGAGTTTTTCTGACCCTGAAGATTTTCTACACCTCCTCCAAACCACGGACTCTGCTCCTGTAGCAGTGAAAAGAGAGACAGGAGTGGTGATTGCCAGGTACTCTTTATTCAGAGTAAAATACACACAGGGTAGCAAGTCTCTGCTCAGAAACAGAAATATATGTTGTATATGTAGATGTATATGTTCAATTTACATGGCCAGCAGTATGGGCTTTTTAAAAAAATATTTTTGGCACAGTACCAAGGAGTTGCATAGTACAAGGCTGAGATTTCCAAGACTGCCTAAAGAATTTGGTTTCTGAATGCTCATTCACCTGGCTGTTTAAGTCACTTTATTTGCTGTGATAATCCCTAAGTCAACTCTGAAGTTACAGAAGTTGAGTTCCTTGCTTCCATGAACACTTGTTAGTATTGGTGAACTTAATTTTAGTTGGTTGTTAGAGCAAACAAGAGACTGGTGTACTGGATTATGCATAATTTTCTGTTTAGTTAAATATAACTGGTACAGGCCCAACAGGACACTTCTAATGCCTGTTTCCTGTTTGTGAGATAGTTATGATTAACTTAATTTCTTGGGTTTGCATGTAATTACCGCTTGCCAGAATAGGAGAGAATAGGAACCATAGATTTTAAAATGCATGTATTTAGACTCTGATTGCATATTGCTAGTGGTTCAGAATATTATGATTTAGCAAATGCATTTATAATATTCTCAGGTTAATAAATCTAAAGGGAAAATTTATATCATAATGGCAGAGAGAAGAATCCCTTCTTTCTCCACCCAACAGAAACTCAGGCAGAGTGATTCAATGCTTAAGGCTCTGTGGTTAAACAACAGGAGCTTCTTCAAGAGGTTGAGTTTCTCTGAGATCCTTGCATGTGCCTGTGAATCCCATTCAGATTAGTGGGAGCTCTGTAAAGTCTGCAAAATTATGGTACATTTAACTAGTTCTGGCATTTAGGAAGAAATATTTTCCTGTCCTCAGTGCAGTATTAGGAATTTATAAAAGGTGTGTTTGACTGTGTCATCTTGAGAAATCAGTTGGCATCAATCCAAAAGTTTTGAATCTGGCACAATTAATTCTCTGAATTAATTATCCATTTAAGAAAGGAAAAATAGCATTATTTCCTTTAGTTTTCTTACCCATCTTATACTTTTGGGAAGGAGCAGTCATGTACATTAAGTGGTTATTATAAGTTCTTGATCGTCTTTAACTTCAAGGAACAGAATAAATACATATTTGTTTTTTAAGCCTTTAAAACACACTCACATCTTATTGCAGGTTTTACACAACCAGGAAAGGCAGGCAAAATACTGAAAGGAAGCAGAAGAAGAGAAAAATTCCAGTCATTTTGGTCCCATAGTAGTGTCCTGCAGGAGCAGGGTTTGGAGGAAAATTACCTAATCTTGCAAAACTTAAATTCACACAAGTCAGCAACAGTGGCAGTTTATTTTGCACATGCACACTGTGAACATGAAATTCTTTATAGGAGTGCAATTTCTTTTATTTAATATTGTCAGCCTGCTATGGGGACTTTCTCTGCTATGGATATGACATTATGCAAGTTAGTTCGGTGCACACGAGCTTTTCCAGTGAGCCAGTTAAAGAATTTAGAAGAGAAATAATAGCAGTGTGAGATTTTTTTCCCCCAGATTTGCTCCTAATTAATTCTGAGGTGATGTGCCATGGAGAAGAGGCTTCTGATTTTGGAGGATGGGGAAGAATCACAAACCAGCTTCAGTTTTTGTTTTTTCCCCCAGTTATTCTACAAAATGTCCCCAGACTAGGGGAAGTCTCCAAGTAGGGAAAGTTATCTAAACTTAGGCTACAACTTTCCTTAAAAACAGTATATAAATGCTCAGAGGAAGTGTGTTGGGACTAGGCACTGAAGTTCTGAGGCGGTGTACAGCCAACCTGCTGCTCCACACTCTGCCCGTGGCAGGACAAGAGTTCAGGTGTCTGGGCCACTTTGCAGGACACCATCCATCCTGGGTTTTCCTTGTTTTCCTTCTTTTTTCCCCACTCCCCAGAGAGGCAGATCCAGGAGAGGATGTTTCTGAGCAGAAAGGCAGAGGTTTTACAAGAGCTGGTGCCTGAAAGCCACAATTAGGAAAATTTAGCCAAGAAATTTGGCCCATATTTTTAGAGTCAAGGGATGGTAAGCAAGAGTTGAGGGCCAATGTCCAGCTCTTTACCATGCACAGCAATACTGCATTTGTGTGAAGATATTCTGTAGCTGAAACATGAATCATACATGTTTCTTGCTCAATGAGTGAAAGAAGTATTTAGCAAGGAATAAATCTCTTCTTTGGCCAGTGTAAAAAAGCAGTGAGCCTGGATAATCAAAAGTCCTTTTTTTCCTCGCCATTTATTAATTTGTATGGATGAAATTCCTATCTCTGTGTAAAGATGAAAGCATGTAATTAAAGATTTCCTGTAAGAAATATTTTCAATTAAATAGCATCACAAAGTGTCTAAGGATTTTGGCTTCTGCATTGCTTCCAAAAAGCCACAGAAAACAGCAGAACACACAAAACTCATCAAGTCTTATAAATGAAAGAAAACAATTCCTTTTTGTACTTTTTAACAAATAACCCACATTTTTTTGCCACCCACAACTTATGAAAAATACATGGCTACTCAAAAACTGTTTCCCTCATACATTGTTCCAAAAACCTGATGTAGGTTGGTTTTAAAGTTATTGATGTGCAGTGATTTGATTTACAAATGCTGTTAAAGCAACTCATAACTGTTTCTTTTATAGCATTCATTGTATAATATTTTTTTCTTCAAATTAACTTGTAGTAAAATGTATTTTCCCACAAACATAGTGCAATGTAATTAACTTTGCATGAGTTGCTTTTAAGGCAGGAAATGTTACACAGTACAGTTTTTACAGAATAAATCACCTCTGGAGAAACCAGCAGAGAAAGCTTTTTCCCATCAAAAGCCTCAGAGCTCAGTAGTTTTGTGCTGTACGATTTTGCAAGTTAAGCTGTAAACAGAGGTGCAAACTCAGGTTTTGGCTACTGTGCAGTGACCCTCCTTTTCAGAACACTTCCCAAGGCCTGCAGAAGAGATCTTGCTTCTTTCAGATGTGCAGGAGGAGCCTCTTTCCTTGATGTGTTGCAAAGATAATGGAGGCTACTTTCCTACTCTTCCTTAAGCCAGCTCTCCATCCTCCACCCAGTGCCTCCTCCCACCGAAATGTCTTTGTAAAACCCAGTGATAATTAGTGATAATTGAACATTTATGGCTCACAGTGCACACTGGAGGAACTTCTAGCTCTATGTTTGTGAGTTGTAGGCATTGTTTGCTGTGCAATGCCTGCAATGAATGTCGTGGGAATATTGTTATTTTTAGGGAATTAAAACGGCCTTGCACACAAGCCTATGCATCAACCCAGTCACTTGTACATACTCAACACTTCTTGCAGTTAAATATTACAGTGTGTATATCACTGCATCTTTTGCCAAAGATGAATTAGAGCTTATTTTGATTGCTCTGAAAGGCCTGTTTTTCTCTGAAGGAGTTATGAGCTTTTTGTTTGTTTCTGTTTTGTTTTGATTTGTTTGTTTGTTTGGAAAGCACCTGAAGCAGCAGTGTGTTTGTACCTGCATGCTATGGCTTAACAATGCAATGAATTTCCACTGGCATATCAGCAAAGCCATTTGCATGCAGAAATGCTGT